AAGTTCTTAGATTGAGACCCAGTTACTAAGATGAGATACAGAATCTTAAAGACTGAAATCAAAGTCATTATGTGATGGATCAGTGTCATAAAAATGATATAGGAGATTAATTTGTTAGATAACCTCATCAGCATTTATAGTTTTGTATATCAGTAGCTATCTGCATAGCTATCTGCAGGCATATAAATTATTCAGTTGATCGTTTCAGCCCCTAGGTTTTCTTTAGTTTTCCAGAATCTACTTCTTTCTTTTTTCATCTGTCTCTTTCTGAGGCTGTTCTCCAGAACTATTGGGTCCTGTGTACTTTTAGTTCTGAAACCTGTAGTTTCGGTTGTATTTAGACATCAGTTCATTATTTTTACCTGGCAATCCAATATCAGTAGGCTTTAATTCAGATTTAAGATTAACCCAGTATTCATCTGAGTTAAGAAATAGCTTGTGTTTATTTTCTTACCACTGCAGCCACTCCATTCATGTACCTTGCCTGCATTCCCAGAATCTTACACCAGCTCTGTCCTATGTATAAAGTGATAGCTTAGAGACTAGTATAAACAGTCCTCACATAGCGACTGCTTTGTTTAGTGACCATTCAAAGTTATGACAGTGCTAGAAAAAAAACTTAGCAACCCATCCTCACATTTATGACCTTTGCAGTGTCTCATGCTCTTATTTTCACTTGCTTATTTACCCCATACCAAGATGTCCTCAAAAAAAAAAGAGAGAGAAAGAACCCCAGTTCAGCTGACGAAAATAGCAAGAAGCAAAGGAGAATTAAAGTAAAATCATAAGCATAGTCGCAGTCACATAAGTTTCAGTTAGTGACCACTTTGCTTAACTAAGTTGCCAGTCTCAGTTGTGGTCACTAAATGAGGACTACCTGTCTGCCAACATTTTGCTGTTGCTATCCAAACGCACTTTTGATCTTGCTGTTCGTCACCGAAGACAAATTCCTTGTATATATTTTATACTTGGTCATTAAAGTATTTTGTATTGTATTGTATAGAAGAGCATGCAGTATTGCTATCAAACAAACA